AGGGGCTGCCACCAGCCTGCAGGGTGAGAGGTTGCTCCTTCTGCCTGTGAGCTGTGGGTGGGGAGGGCTTTTTGGGCCAGGAATGTGGAGTGAGGAGGGAGCGGGTTACCCGACAACCTGTTCTTTCACAAGGCAGGACACAGGCTGGGCAGTGGGGATCCTGGGTCCACCTGGAGCTGCAGGTGAGTCACGGGGGAAATGGTCAAGCCCAGTGTGAACAAACCAGTCGGGCCACCCCAGGTCGGCTGCCTTCCTAGAGGGTAGGGAGAGCTGTAGAGGAGGGGGACAGACAAAGGGGTTCCCTAGACTCCTCTTGGCCTCAGCTCCCTGCTCCTACCCATCCCCCTTTCCTAAAGGCTGCCTGGCTGGTCCCGAAGGGGGATCCAGGTGGACCTGTCTAAGGCCAGTTCTTTTTGTTTCAATCACCGCTGCCTGGGCTGCCCTTGGAATTTGTTCCAGGGAGTGGGTGCCAGGCCTGGGCCCCGGAGAGGAGGGCAGAGCACCTCACGCAGTCACTGGGTGGGCTTTAGCCTGGCACAGGGAAAGACCAGTGGGAACCAGGAGGGAGGGGAGAGAGTGGGAAACTGTCCTCTCCCCCAGGGTCCCAAGTCCATTTGGAGCTGAAGGGTCACTCACAGTTCCCGGCAGAGGAGGGAGAAACCAGGGCCCTGGGGCTCCTTCCAGTCCAGGCCGCCTGCTCAGGTGAGCCGCCTCCTGGGCTGTTTGCATAAGAAGCCACGGAGGCCAGGGCTGTAACTCTTTCCCCTCTGCCAATGCCCAGGCAGCAGGGCGGGCTGCAGTCCAGATGGCCGGCCTGGGCGGGGATAGTGACCTCACCCTGAAATCCCCGAGTCAGGAGGGCCCCTGGCCCAGGGCTGGGCCCCAAGCCACAGAGGAGGAGTCTCAGGTCCCTTCCTCCCCAGACTTCCTTGGGCTCCAGGAGCACCTCTTTGGAGGGGGTGGGAGGTGGGGAGGCGGGTAGAGTGCTCTGGCTTAACTCTCCAGTCCTCCGTCTCTCCCTCCTCAGAAGCAGGTGCTTCTGCCCCCTCCTGGGACCTCTCATTTTCCTACCACACCCTCAGCTGCAGAAAGCAAGGTGAGGCTTTAGAATTCAATGCCTCCTTCCCTGCTACCCATGCTCACGACAGGGCTGGGCACGTATAGGGCACTCAGAAAAGTGAGCATCTCTTTGCCTTTGGCTGGTACTACCCTTGCTGAGGGGAATAGGGTGGTCAAAGCTGAAGGCCACCCAGCTGAAACTGAGCCTGGTGGCCAGAGTGAGGTTTGGGGTCAGGAAGCCTGGAAATGACCTGAATGCTGCCACCTCCTGGCTGTGTGACTTCCAGCCAGTCACTGAACCTCTCTGAACCTCTATTTGTACTTGGGGCAAATGGGGATAACTGTCTTCTGAGCTGCTGGATGAGCCTTTGAATGTCATATCTCGCCCTGGCCAGTTTGGCTCAGCAGTTGAGCATCGGCCTGCGGGCCAGAGAGTCCCGGGTTCGGTTCCTGCTAGGGGCATGTACAAAAAAAAAAAAAAAGAATGTCATATCTCACTAGGCTTGTGTGTCCCTAGTGTCCAGCATGGTGACCAGCATACACCAGATGTTCGTTATGTGCCAGTTGAGTGACTGATGAATGACAAGGCTGTAAAATGCCTCTGGCCACACAGCATCTCTTCCCTGGCAAGTTTCTGAGCGTTGTCTACAATCTCAGTCCACATCCTCACCTTCATTCCTCTGACCCTCTGCCTTCGGCAACCCCCTGGACCAGTTCCTGATAAGGTGGCCACTGACGTCTGGTGACCACTTCCGATAAATGTTTAATGGCTTTTATCTAACTTCCCCTTTCTTCTGGCCACTTCTCCTAAGCTTCCAGGCCAGCACTCCCCTGGTTTTCCTCCTTGATCCTTGATGGTTTCTTCCTCTCAGGTTCTTCTCTCTTCCCTCTGTCACCCCAAAGTGGTGGCCCCAGGGCTGTCTCAGGCACTCCCGTTCCCTTGTCCACACACTCTCCACACCCATGGCTCCAACATCATATGCTGAACACCTTCTCCTGGGGCAGCAGACCCAGCTGGCCACCTGCCTCCTGGGCCCGGCCCAGCAAGGCCAACGCGATTCAGCCTCATTCCTCCACTCCTGTCCTCCCCATTGCCCCCTCCCGCCCCCCGCAGTGTGCCAACTGGGTGGATGCTCATTTTGATTTTCCTCACAGCCCATCAGCCCATGAGCACCAGGTTCTGCTGAGTCTACCTCCGAGATCTGTCATCATGGAGTATCCAGGAGACCATGAAGGTCCCCCTCTGTTCTCAAAGTCCCCGCCACAGGGGTCTTTTCTCAAACCCCCTCCCTTTTCTTCGGAGAGCCTTCCAGGCTGCAGGATAAAGCCCACATTCCTGGTGAGAGCCCATGAGGCCCTTCCAGCCAGGCACTCCCCAGTCCCCACTGGAGCCCCCATTCCTGGGCCCAGCTAGACAGGGTGGGGGGTGGGGCTGCAAGGCCCCAAAGGTGCCACATCTCACACCTCCACTTCTGCCCATGCCCCTGAGCGTAGCTGGATCACAGACATCTTGTGCCATGCTGGACTGAGGCATCTATCCCCTCCTGACCACCTCCTGTCCCACACAGTAGGCCCCCGGGGCCGGGGCTGGGCCTCAGTCACCTTTAGATCTGAAGGCTCACCTGGTGTTTGGCAGGTGTTCAGTCAATTTGTGCTTAGCACGTGAGCGGATGGAGGGAGGGGAAGGGTAGGACCTGCATCTCCTGTCTCTTCCAAGAAGAAAAGAGGCAGGCTTGCCTTTCAGGAAATTTCTTCTCTAAATTCTACCTTGAATAACTAAGAGCTGAGTGGAATTTCCTTCCCAGGGGAGAACCAATCCCCCACCCCTGAAGTATGCTGGGGATGGGGTGTCAGGGAGACCCACAGCTGACACTTAAATAAAGCATGGTCACAGTGTGGTTTACATAAATTGTACGAGGAGGAAACAGAACCAGAGATGCTAAACAACTTGTTGAGGTCATGCAGTGAATTAGGGCCAGAAGTGGGACCAGGCAGAGCCTCTCTGCCAATACTCAGGTATCAGATGCCCCAGTTCCTTCCTGAGAAGGCACCACCACCATCACCCTCCCCCAACATACCACTGCAACCAACTGCTGCCAGCCTGAGGAAGGGGGCAAAGATACCACCCTGCAGTGACTGTGGCTGCTGGGGTAATTTCTCAGGAGGTGCTCAGATTTCCACCCTGGTCCTGGGCTCTGGACCAGTGTCCCTTGGGCAGACCTGCAGACCTGGGACTCATGGGAAAGGGCGCTGCAGCTCCTGGTCCCTAGTCAACACACTCTTGCACGTGTTTTGGGCCAGGTTCTGTGCAGGACACAGGGGTTCAGAGGGCAAGGCCAGTCTTCCACCTAGAGGGGCGCACCTCAGAGGGACAGACAGATACCCCACCATCACCAGGGCAGAAAATGTTGAGGTTCAGGAGTCTGCCCAGGGAATGAAGGGGCGCCGGGAGAAGAAATGTTGGCGTCCAGCCATCTATCCCAGAGAAACTGTCTGTCTGGCCGGCAAGGGCACTGAGCACCAGGACCCCTCCATTCCACTATCTCTCCACCTCCCTGCATGCCACCAGCTGGGTCTGGGTCTGATCCCCACTCGCCAGATGCTGTTCTGCACGCTGGCCACAAGGGGGCGGGCTGTCCCCTGCCAAAACAGGAACGAAGGCGCCGCAGACCCGGAGGAAAGGCTACTAAGTGGGATCTTAGCCAGTTTTGGTGGACTGCCCATTATGTGCCAGGCGCATCCATGCCTCAGCTCGTTGAAAGCTGTCAACAACTTTAGTCCTTAGGTATTGTTCTACGTTTACACACGTTGACACTGGGGCTTGGGGATGACTCAGCTGGCCGGTGACTCAGCAGTCAAATTCGAGTTTCTGTAACCTGAAATCCTGAGCTCTTTGCATTATAACCAGATGGGGTGGAAGGAAGACCCAGGAGCCTGTTTACGGGGACGGGTGCCTCCTTCCTCTGGGCATCCCAGGCTCAGTCCTGGGGCGTGGCAGGGATCAATGTTTATTGGAATTATATCAACTACAAAGAAAGAAACTATAGCCTCACAAGATTCAAGAGTCATCCAGCCATCTTTCCCGCCCCTCTTCGGGCTAAAGGACACACGGAGACCAGGAGGGAGGAAGCTGGTGGTAGATGTCTGTGCATTCCCTTCCCTGAAAAACTCCTAAAGTTCAAGATGTTAAGGCCGCAGGCAGAATTTTGAGGATGTAAGAGTTTAAAAAACGTGCTGTTTTCGATTTCCCAAATTAATATAACTGGATTCTGAAGTGAAAAAAAAACAAAAACCCACTATGACTGGACTTCTTTCTGAAACACTCATCAAGTTTTTGTTTTCTATTTTTTAAAGAGGGAACTGAAATGTTGGAAATAGCCAAAAAGGGAAGCAGACCCTTGACTTTCATATCCATTATCTCGTCTAACAAACATCACCTCCCACCCCCCCACCCTCGTGAGAAAGTCGAAGCAGGTCGAGCCAGCTGCAGGTTCACAACCCCCTATTTTATGCCAGAAGCGTTTCTGAACGGTTCGAATTTTAGAATGATAACACAGCACACACACGTGCTGCCATAGGTGGTGTAATGCTCCCAGCAAGGCCTGGGCCAGCACTCTATAATCTTCACCTGTAGAAAATCTAAATATTCACCCTAAGTGGGATAAACATACACCACCAATGACCTCATATAGGTTCAAGTCAAATTTTGCCACCAATTTTGTTACGAAAAACCTTTGGGTTCCAGGAAGCTTTGGCATTTTGGAATTGCTGATAGGAGACTGTGATTCTGTACCCCTTGTTTCATGGTTGAAGAAAGCAAGGCTCGGTGTGGGGGAGCTCGTCCAAAGCCGGCGGACACTGCTGCTCCCCGTTAAGTCCGACGCTAAGCAGAGTGGGCCTCCTCGCGCCCCCAGCCCCGCCTCCGGCTCCCCGCAACATACCTGCTTCGGGCGCTCCTCCTGCGGCGGTCCGCGCAAGTCCTCTATGGTCTCGTACAAGTTCTCAGAGTCGCTGCGCGCCAGGGGCCGCGGGCACACCCAGGAGCCCGCCACACTGCAGGCCTTGAAGCGGCCGGCGCTGCCGAGGAGGCCGGCAGGGGGCGCGGCGGCCGCCTGCGCCAGGTCGTCCAGGGACTGCGCGGGCCTGACCCGCGGCGCGGGCCGCGTGTACAAGCAGGCGGGAAGGCCGGGCGCCAGGCTGCTGCGCTGGGTCGCGGTGCCGCGCCGCGCGGGGGCGCATAGGGAGCCCGCACGGCCCCGGGGCTCGGCGGGCACGCCGTCGGGGCCCGCTGGCACCGGCGCGCTCACGAAGCGGTAGTCGTAAGCAAGCGGTTCCGGGGCTGCCGGGCCAGGATGGGGCAAGGGTGGCGGCAGGCTGGTGGCAGGGTCGCCGATCGCTGGCAGCTCGCGCACATACTGCGCAGGTAGGTAGAAGGGGCGTCCGTCGGGCTCGCGCCGCACATGCCACCAGTGCTCGGTGCTGCGGCGTAGCAGCCGATAGCGCTCGTTGGGCTGGATGGCGATGCGGCGCCCGTCCTTGCCCGTGTACTGGAAGGGGTGCTCCACCAGCACGTACACGTCCCCCTCGACGTCCGCCGCCATCGTGGCCGCGGCCTTTCCCTGTGGATAGCAAGGGGGAGGGGCACGGATGTCAGGGCCACGGACCCAGAAAACCGCACTAGTGCTGCACTCATCATGTGCGTTCTGGCCTCAGTTTTCCTGTCTCTAAAACGGGAGACTTGGATAAAATAATCTTTTAGTTTCTCATTCTTACACCCAGTGATGGAATTATGGCAACCCTTTCATTCAATGCCTTGGTGGAGGATTGTGGGTAGTAACAGGTTCAACTTTACAGCCAGGAAGGAAAGCCTTGGTTCAAAGAGATAGGACAGCGATTTTCATCTCATGACACACATGAACTAATTACTAAAAATTTGCGGCACACACACACAAATATATTTTTTTGCCGATCAGACAAAAAATAAGTATAATTTTGCCTGGCCGGTGTGCTTCGTGGATTGAGCATCGCCTTATGGACTGAGAGGACCCAGTTTGATTGCCCTGGCACATGCCTGGGTTGCGGGCTCCATTCCTAATAGGGGGCACGCAGGAGGCAGCCAATCGCATCGATGTTTCTCTCTCTCTCTCTCTCTCTCGCTCCTCTCTCTCTCCTTTCTTTTCTTTCTCTTTATTTCGAGAGAGAGAAAGACAATGAAAAAAATAGGTATAATTTTGATTCATTCACAATAGACCTATTGTGGTGTTGGCTGGTGTCATTTTTTTTATTGGGCAATTTAAGAGAAAAGAGGTCAGTGCCCTTGACAAATTGTCAGGTGTTGCATGTTTTAAAAATTCTTGCCGCACACCCGTTGAAAATAGCTGAGATAGGGTGATCAAATCGACACCACAATTTGCCTAAAAGTTGACCAGGCCTCAGTTTCCTTGTCTGTTAAGTGGGAAGAACAACCCATTCCCTACGCCCCGCCCTGTCCTGTAGCCTCCAAGCCTCAGGGAATGAGAGTTCACAGCGCCGCTTCCTGGCCCCGGGCTGCTCGACCCATGGAGGTCTCTACTCCTAGTTAAAGAACCTTGGCATAATGGGCCTATACTGCCAACGCCGGGGAACCGGTTCTCTCGGTTTTTCTTTACTTCCCAGAGGCTTTGCCACAGACGTGAACCCAGAGCCTGGCCCGCCCAAACCGGCCTGCACCACTCCTGCTCTCCAGCTCCCACCTCCACCTCCTGAGAAGGGCTTGGACCTCGCGGCCTGTCCACCTGCCCTGAGATCTCTACATTGCCCCATGAGAGTGGCCCCTAGAAAATGCACTTTGTGTCAGCGACTGCTCATGCCTTGTCTCCAGGGTTCCCCAAAGCTCTCCCAGAGTGATCACCACAGCCCCCACCCATTCTATGCTGACTCAGCCTGGCGTCAGAGCCTAACTCCAAATCGGCCGCTGTCCCTCCATCAAAGCGATGAGTCGGTGGCCTCCTCCGGAAGTGGCTGGTCCCTCCAAGCCTTTTACACTGACTACACCTCCTGCTCCCCCAAGGTGGCCCGGGACCAGCAGCTGAGAAATAGGCTGCTTGCTGAGGTTGAGGGTCCCGCAGAGGGGTGCATAACGCTCCTTTACTTTGTCAAGCTTTCCTCGAAGGGGGAAAGGGGTGTAGACTGGGTCACTAAGCATACCGGGCCGTGGAGGAGGGGTGCGTGAGCCTCTCAGAGCTAAGCCAACAAACCCCAGGGAGAACACCCCTTCTCGCCACCTTCCTCTGACCTTCGCGGCTCACTCACGTTGGCAGGACGGGCCTTCGGGTGCCCATGGGCTGGATAGGCTGAGCCGGCGGATGGATGCGGGTTAGGCGCCTGCCATTTCGTTGGGCCGGGATTCGAGGGATGGGCTGGAGAGATTTCGGGTAGCAGGAGCTGGCAAGGGGAGCAAAGAACGAGAGGGACGCTCGGGAGGGCTGTCCCAATCCCCAAAGCAGCTGTGTCTGGGAGGGGAGAAGGGGAGCCTGAATGGGCCGGAAGGCACATTGGAAGCTAGTCCCAGAGCAAGAGAAAGCATGAGGGAGGGACAGAGGCAGGGAGGGCAGCGACTGATGGGGTGCTGGCGGGTCGCAAACAGAGACTCTGAAAGGTACAGTCCCGCCCCTGCCCCGCCCCCACCCTCCCAGGCGGGATCTGTTGTCATCGAGCCTCTGCGTCCCAGGGACTGCTGGATCCTGGCTCCTGGTCTTGCCCGGGGCGTTCCCAATGCACTCTGAATCACCAACGAGGAGCCCTTTCCAGCCGGACTGTAGGCACTACTCGCTCCGGGCCCACCTCCGCCCTTCCCAGACCCTTTCCCGGCGCAGCTCAGCCGGGCCTGGAAAAACTGGGAGCGGAGTTCCCGCCAGGGACACCCACCGGAGCGCAGGGTATTAGGATGGGTGGGGATGGGACCCGGGCCTCGGCTCCTTCCCCAAGCCCGGAGGAGCGAAGAGAAAGGGAGGAATGCGGGGTGCAGGGAGAGGGGAGGATCCCTGGAGCGCGAGGACGGACCTGTCGCCAGGAGGTGCCCTGCCTCCACTGCCCCGGCGACGCGAGTCACTGCGGCGCCAACGCCTCGGTCGGCGCTGGGGCCCTGGCCCTGGGCCCCTCCTCTGCCCGGACGAAGGGCCGCCCTTCTCCCCCCTGTCCTCCGGGGGTGAGGGGACCGTCCCACGCGGCATCCTCCCGGGACCGCAAAGCTCCAGTCCTTGCGCGGTAAGGAGAGGAGCAGGCGCGCGGTGCTCCCGGGTGACGACTCGCACCTGCGGCACCCCACCCCCAGCTCAGCACCCCCCTCCCCAGGTTTGGCCCGGCTTTGGCACCTCGGGGTGTCCACTCGCTAGCCTGGCCTCCACTTGTCCCGGCAGGGTGCGCGTGGGCTCGGCGTCCGGCGCTCCCTCCTCCACCTCCCAGCTCCCGCGCTGCGGGGTTTCCTGTTCAACAATATAGCGAGGGAGGCACCAGCCGAGAGCACCAGGCAGAACTTCCTCCCGGGCTGGGGCTGGGCTGCGGCTTCGAGAGACAATCCCCGGTGTCCTGGCTTCCTGTCCCCTCTGGGCCGGGCAAGCGCCCCAGGAGCAGAGGCGCCAACCCCTCCCCCTGCACCTCCGGGGATCCTGGGCCACACCTGGCTGTCTCCTGGTCGTGGAGGCAGCAGGACCAGGATAGTAGGGTGCAAAGGGAGGGGGCCTCCTCACCAGTTTTTGGCCAGATTTCCAACTGCTTGATTCTCACCTCCTCCTTGATCCTTGCTGGAGAGGAGGCCCACCCTCCTATCTGTCCGTAGGGTAAGATCAGAGCAACTTCCTGGGGCTGGGCTCAAGATCCTCACCTTATCTCTGCATCTGTTTCCTGTAAACTGGGGACAGTAACACCTACTTCATAGGATTGTTGGGAAGATTAAATGAGATGCACTAAGAACAATATGTTATCACATTATTATAATGTGATATTAGTTATGATTATAGTACATTAGTTATGATTATCACTACTTTCATAATGAGATAAGCCTCATCTTTGGAGTTGGAATGAAGTCTCCAAATCTCCCATCCTCCTTTGGGGGGGGGGGGAGGATGTCCTCAGAGGCACTTTGCTGAGGATGACAGCACTGAGTCCAAAGGCAGGGCAGGTCACTTGTCCCCAGTCCTCTGGTGGGCCTGCCTCCCCCAAGCCCTCAAACCAGGTTCATCTGGTCTTCCTGGAACCTACCACTTACTGCCTCTGGAGAGAGGTGAGGCCCTTGATGGAAGCTGGGCTCATGGGATGGGCAGAGGGTGCTCCCTCATGAGCTGAAGGGACAGGAAACTGCAGACATAAATGTCATCTTTTCCAGTCCCATTCTCCTGCAACCTGATTTCCCTGAAAATTCGTGTTTCCTTCTTCGGTCCTTACATTGGGCAGTGGTGGAGTTCCCCCTGCACGGGCCCCTGGGCTTCTCCTGGACATTCAGAGGAAGGTTTGCAGCCAAGTAAAAGCCACTGAGAGCCCTTAGAGCATGAACCCTGGATCAGGGGCCCTGCCCAATCAGGGGCCCTTCTGGAGCCCCTTCTGTCAATACAGTGGGAAATACAGGCCTGAGGTCTCACGTGTTCCAGTGTCAGGGGTCTGTGCTTTGACATTTAAGGCACAGGAAAGAAGCCATGGTGGTGGTTTCAGGCATCAGCTTCAGTTGTTACATATGAGTGAGTGTATGTGAGTAAACCTCCCAAAGGCCCTGAAATCTGACCCCACCGGGCCCTGCCTCCTCAGCGCAGCAAGGGTGGGGTATGTACTAAACCTGTTACTGCCCCTCTCCTCCATGCCCACTGCTGGCACACAAGCCCCCTGCTTGCAAATCTTTACCACTGCCTCCACCCTCTCCTCTCCTGTGTCTAGGGACTAACAGGAGCGTGTGGAGTTCCTATCAGACTGGTGACCGATGGCCCATGGTCTCCCCTAATCAGCTGCAGCATTAGGATTCAGATTAGAAATATCAGGTCTTTACTACAAAATCATTCAAACATCACACAGCAGCAGTTCCTTCAGAACATTGCAAAGCACTTCCAGGGCCAGGGCCCCACACTGCAAAGTTTATTGCATAAAACAACATTTTAAAAATAGTGTGGCCATTGCTGAGGTTCACATCAGCTTTCCATTGGAGGTGAGGGGTGAAGTCAGCTATCTGAAAGCATCAGCTTCTGGCGATGGGGGGAGGGTCAGCTCTAATGCTACTAATCTCTGGGAGGGTCAGGGTGGGGTGCACTGAAGTGAGTGCCTCCAGGGCCTCGCTCCTCCTGCCTCCGAGGGCACCTTCTGGAATATACTCACAGGCCCGAGGGAACGGGCCAGGCTCAGGTGGCACTGCCCACCCCAGGCTGGGCTCCTGCCCACGCAGGGATCGGGGGCCGGTCGGGCTCCGATCAGACTGTTTTGCAGTGGAACATGAATGCCGTGAGGGGTGGGATGAGGATAAGGATCCACTTGCCAGTTCTGGAGGCTTTGTCGTGCTGAGCACAGGTGTGCACCACCTTCCGAGAGGGGACAGGGAGGCTGTGTGGCAGCCCCTCCCCCCCTGCCTAGCACCTCCTCTGTTCTATTGCACAATTTATCCAGCTCCACGGGGCTAGGCAGGTGACTCAGCAGCTGAATCACCCCAAGGGAGAGGTGGGAGTAGGTTCATCTCTTGACAGCGACAGGCAGATCTTCAGCTGTGGCCCTCAATCTCAAGGTGGGTACACAGATGACCAGAGGACCCCAGGGCTGAGGGGGGCCTGCTGGGTTCAGGAGAGGTGAGAGAAGGCAGCAGAGAAATCACACCCAGATTCTCTCAAACCCCAAGGGTCTAAATATCATTTGAAAACAATTCCAGGCTCCCACCCCACCCCAACACCCCTTCAAATAGCAATGGTGTTCCAACAGAATTTTCCAGTCTCTAGCAGCGCCCCTCCTGGGCCAGTCCAGCGATGCTGTGTGGATGCATGGCTTTGTAAACGGAGTGAAGCACCCTTCCACGGACCTTCTCCCGCAGACCCCTGCGCACCTCTGCAGCAGGGCTGGCACTCTTCGTGGAAGGACGGGGTCACTGCTCCACGGTGTGTGCTGAGGCGGCCCGCCTGGGCTCGCTGCCCGCTGGGGGTCCAGCCTACTGTCCCAGCAGGGGTCAGCCAGGCAGGGATGGGGCCCCTGAGAGAGTCTGCAGAGTACCCTGCCCTTGTGTAGCGTAGGAGTGAGCAGGGCGTGGGGCTGAAGGGTGGGCAAGATGACTTCCTGGACCAAGGAAGATGCAAAGTGCTGACAGTGCTGGTTCCGAGTCATTCCCCTTCTCCTGCAGGGACCGGAGTCCAGGCTACAGAGGAGCCAGGGGCTCTGACACAGAGGAAGAGAATGGGCTTTCGGGTGGGGAGGACGGGCAGGGAATGAAGAGGGGAAAGAAGATGGTCATCAGGACTGACCCCGCCTGGCCCCACGGGCGGTTTGGCACATCGCACTTGAGCTGTGGCAGCAAGTGTCTGGGAGGGCGAAGGAAAGGCAGCTGACAGGCTCTGTCCCAGGGGTGGCCTGCCTGCCCAGCTGCCCCGTCGGCACACCAGGCCTGGCTGGCACCTGCACATTTGCCCCATGAGAATGCCTGGATTTCTTGGGGGACTATGTAGGGTTAAGAATAAAAAAATATTTTCTGTTGAAATATGAAGGGAAAAAATATCCACCTTAAAAAACTAGACTTTTTAATCAGGAATGTGGATTGGAAAATGCGCCCCAAGTCTTATTTCCATAGTATGTGAACAGCCCTGATGGGGGCGCCGTGTCAGTGAGGTGAGCAGGAGCCTGGTTAGTGCAAAGAGCCCTCCCCCAGCACCCGGAACGGGGTGTCTGCTGGTGTCCCCACCGCCTGGAACCGATGAGGGGGCATCAGCAAAGGCTCCCTCTGGTAGGCTCGTGCTCTGGTCACATCTGAGTCTTCCTGACAAGGGAGACTGGAGACACCGTGAGAGAGTAGTCCCGGCTGACAGCAAGCCCAGCTGGGATGGCTGAGCTGAGCCCTCACCCGAGGCCTCCGAGGCCTCCGAGGTGGGGACAGGAGACTGGGTTAGGTGAGAGCGCTCTGTTCTTGGTACTTGCGCCGGCGGGCACAGCGGGGGCAGCCCTTCACCACGGCCTGGCAGCTCTGGTGGAAGACGGTCTTGCATTCACCGCACCTGGGAGAAAGCGGCAAGTTCTGCGGTGCCAACGGGCTGGAGGCTTCCCCTGGGGACTGAGGCTGGCCAGTGTCCTGACCAGGGCCCTCAGCCGGGCTGTGTTCCCCCCACAACCCCAGGTCCGCAGGTGCTCCTCCAGCGCCAAGATTCTTGCAGCCATGCTTACCCAAGGTCACGCCATGCATGCTATTGTATTTTTTATAAATGCTGCTGAGACTCACTAGATGACTTCTTGCCTATGCTTAGGACACTCTGCAGTTAAAAAAAACCTCAGCCCTAGGTCTGTTCAGGGGCTAAATCTGGGCCAGGGGACACCCAGTGAAAATGAATGAATGCTCCCACCAGTTCAGATTCCACTCCCACATGGGCTGGAATGAAGCTTTGGTGGATGAATTTGTCCGTTTAGAAGCTTCAGAAACGAGCAGTAACTGGGACAAGAAGGATCACGACAGGAGCAGAGGCAGGGGCAGGTATCACCCACCAGGTGCCCACTTAGTGCCGGGCCTTGTCCAGCACTGCAGGGCAGTAACTCATTCAGTCCCTTCTCAACCCATTCACAGATGACAAAGCTGAAGCCCAGGAAAGCCACTCAGAGCCAACCGCGTCCTGTGAGGGCCTGTGCTGCCCCCAAGCTGGACTGGGGCTGGCCAGACGGCCCAGGGTGCCAGCTGCTCCGGGCAACCTCACCACCCCGTGGCACTAGCACAGAGATGTTCAGTGTGTCCCCACACAGTGGCACAGGGCCTGCCACCCAGGAATGCTGGGCCACTGTGGGTAGGGTTGGGGGTGGGATAGCTGGCTGGGTGTCTTGCATACCTGACCGTGGTGTCAAACTCAAAGGGGAAGATGATGTCATGGTGGTGGCAGATCTGGCAGATGAAGCCGCGCTGGGTGCACAGGTCACAGTGGTAGACGTGCTGGGAGGCAAACTCGACCAGGGCCTTGAGGAACCCTTCATACGTCCCCTCCGCCATCTGAAGGGAAATGCAGGCCACCAGGCCTTCAGGGAGCTGTGCCGAGGCTAAGGCATCTGCGAAACGTGACCTGCTGCTGCTCATGGGACCCTGACTGAAGAACTTCTACTCCAGTGGAAGAGTCTGTCCACTTGGGCAGGAAATCCTCCCCACGTCAGGCCGAGCAATACAGGCATCCAGCCCTTGAGCACGCTGGGGATAACGGGATTGACACACGAGCCCAAACCACTGCGCCTTCCCTGGACGAAAGGAAGGCCTCCAACTCATCCCTGTGACCCTGGGCTGTGCTGTAGGGCCTGCTTATTCCAGGGGGGCGGGCTCACTCCCTGCCCTAGGAGGCAAGGGACGGCGGGAGCCCATTCCGAGGTGCTGAAGCTGGAGACTGCTGTCTTGTCTCAGTGAGCTCAGGCAGCACCCCCCCCACCTCCCCTCTGATTGCTCCAGGAATGGGGTCCCTCTACAGAGGTCTGGGGGATGACTTTCTCACCTGCTGGAGGTCTGCGACACTGTACTTATGGGGAGACTCCAAGAGATAATTCCTGTGGTTGAGCCTTCAAAGCAAACACAAGAGGTTCCTTAGAAGGACTTCCAAGCCCGGGCCAACCTGTGTTTGTTTTCATTCCCTCAGCCCTGCTAACCCAGCGAAACCCTCCCACGGCGGGCGGGGTGCTGACCAGAGCAGCCAGCCAGCCGGGGCTGGAACCTGGGCGTCCAGGTGACTGACTAGCTGTTGGGGCCTTGGGAGGTCACTTAACCTCCCTGGGCCTCAGGTTTCCTCACCTGAGAAATGGAACTGCTTTGAGGATTAAATAATTTATGTAAAGCATTTGCCACAGTGCCTGGCACACAGTGAACGATGAATAACCACCTACAGTCGTTGATAAACTTGTATTGCATAAATGAAATTTGTCGACAGTAGAAGTGAAATAGTCTCACCAGAAAAATTTATGGACAAATAAGCAAGTAAATAAAGTGATGGATGTGTTAATTAACCAAATGGGAGGAATCCTTTCCCAGTGTGTATATATAGCTAATGATCACGTTGCACACTTTAAATATCTGACAGTTTTATCTGTCAATTATACCTCAATAAGGCTAAGAGTATTTTTAAATATAAAGGTATAAAAAGATAAAAATAAATGTCTACAAAAAGAATAACGAGGAAGAGGATGATGAAAGCTAACAGTTGGTACCAGGAACTGGGCTGAGAGCTTTTCTATATATTAACTCATTTAATCCTCACAATAACCCATCATTTTGGCACTAATATAATGCTCACTTTGAAAAGGAGAGGAAATGGAGGCACAGAGAGATTAGGTAACTTGCTTGTGGTCACACAGCTAAGAAGTGGCAGAGCCGGAGTTTGAATGCAGGAGTTTGGCTCCGGAGCCTGCGTCCTTCCCACCCTGGTGAATGCCTACAGGTGTTGTCATTATTGCCATTATCACATGTCAGGGACAGTGCTAGGGACAGAAACACACAGGACGTGGCTTCTGCCCTCCTGCAGCCCCCAGTCCAGCCGAGGGACAGACGTTCAAGCGTGTGGTTTCGGTGCTATGTGGGAGGAACTGAGACCTGTCCTGAGCACCGCGGCAGATCCCATTTCAGAGGTGGGGTGGGGAGGCGGGGACATGAAGGATGAGGCTCAACCACCAACTGGGCTCTAGTTTCTACCCCGCTAATGGCAGAGATCCCAAAGGCTACATCCAGAGGACAGAGAGGAAACACCTGCAGAAATTCCCCTGGCACAAAAGCCTGCCCAGCCCTGCTGTGTGTGCGTGGTGCTGGCGTCTGGGGAGAATGTGCCAAGTCTGAGGAAGCTTGGAAACCTGCCCCAGGAGGCTCTGAACATCCGGGGGCAGGATGAGGCCAGGCCCTGGGGTGTCGGGAATGGGGGCTTGGCCATGGCTCACTCCGCAGCCTCAATTATGGTCCAGGGGGAACCCAATCCAGGGTGGAGGTGGTAAGTCCCACCAAGCAGCCAGGCAGGATGCTCAGTTCACCATGCTGGTCTCCCTAGGAAAAAGCCCAGCTTTCTGAGAACAGGAAGCCACCATTTAGCACCAGGAAAACGCAGGAGGCGGGAGGTGCACAGGCTGTTCCGGAGTTGGTAGGAAGGGTGGGGCGGATCTGGATGGAGAGTCACCTCTGTCATCTGCCCTCAGCTCCCAGTCATGGAAGGCCGGGGCCATCCAGGTCCAGGGCCTTCCCTATAAACCACCACACCCGGGCCTGTCACACTCAGAGAGGCCTTACAACTGATGTGGGAGATGAAGTCAGGGAGGAGCCCCTTTGCTGGCGGCAGCCCCTGGCTGGGTCCTCTGAGAGAAAGGGGGCCCCCCGTCCAAGACAAGACCTGCCTACCCTCTTGCCCTTCTCGTCCTCTCGCCCTCCACCCTGGACGCCTCAGTCCAGGCCGCCTCACCTCAGGAGAATTACTACTGCTGCTGCCAAATTGGGTCTTTTCTAAACTCTGGACCAGAATGCGACAGTCCCTTGCTCAAAACCCTTCAATGGCTCCCCACTGCTACCAGAATAAAACCCAGACACCCTTGATGTGGCACAAGGACCTTCCAGGTCGGGCCCCTGCACCCACAATCCAGCTACACTAAGCCCCTGTGGGTCCTGGTGGCCTGCTCCCATCCCCCTCCACGCCACAGGTCCGAGCCAGGAAAGCCGGGCCCCCCCTTCTTAGACCTTCCCAGCCATCCCGGATGTACGTGCGCTTCGGGACGCGGTTTTCCTGAGTGGCAGGAGGGATGAGGCCTGGAAGCATGCTCTGACAGCACTAACAGTGGTGTGACTGGAGGGCGGCCCAGCATTCTGCCTGATTCTCTTGTGTTTAGATACTATCTTTGAAAAGAAGAAAAACATTTTTTTTTTCTGTAAAGAAAAGAAAGAACTCCACAAATCCTCATGTCAGATGTTATCACCTCCAGGAGCTCCCTTGGTCCTTGGGCCCTGCCAAGGCTGGGTCAGGTGCCCTCTCTCATGGCATATGCCACACTGAACCAGGACCATCTGCCAGCTGTCTGTGTCCCCTCCCAGACTCTGAGCCCCTCATGCAGCCTTCAGCACAACTATGGAAGGGCACGTGAATACAGGGATGACTTGCCCATTCTATGGACAAGAAAACCGAGGCTCAGCCCTGGATGGTGTGGCTCAGTTGGTTGAGCATCATCTCATGCACTGAGAGGTTGTTGGTTCGATTCCTGGTTCGATTCCGGATCAGGGCACATGCCCAGGTTGCGGGCTCATGCAGGAGGCAGCTCAATGTTTCTCTTTCATTGATGTTTCTCTCTCTCTCTCCCCCTCTGCCTTTTTCTCTCTCTCTAAAATAAATAAAAACATTTTTTTTTTAAAGAAAGAAAACTGAGGCTCAGAGAAGTGAAGCCACGTCCCTGAACCACAGTGGGTCTGAGCCCAGGCAGCGGCTCCTCCCGCACTCATTCTGCCTGCGCTACTTCGAAGATGGGACTCCCACGGCTGAGGGCCTGCTCCCCTGAAGGCGGGCACGGAGGAGGTGCGCAGGGCTGCTGGAGAGAGCAGCAGGGCCAGGAGAAAGAGGTGGGGCTGCCCCTAGGGCCCAGCACAGGTTAGTCCAGACAGGTCAATAAGGCCGATGCCCAGACCTTCTCAGCAGGGCAGGGACAGGTGAGTGAGGCCAGCAGCCAGAACCCATCCTGCAAGCAGCTGGTCGACTCAGGTCTGCAGGGACTCCTCCCATCTGCAGAGATTTCACCAGCCTGCTCCTGGGGTGGGAGAAGCAGGAGGGCAGACTCTGGAGCCCTGGGCCCTAGATTCTCAGGAAGGATGAGAGTAAAGACTCAGGTACCCAGTTGATGACTGAGGTGGACTGAGCCTCCCAGGACAACAGCCTCCTAGGGTCCCTCACGGTGGCCCTCAGAGGGCTCTGTTCCTCCAGACCCTGCGGAGGAGACCTTTGCCTAAGGGAGCGCTCTCTCTGCAGCAGCTCCTCCGTGAGAGGCCCAGGGGACCTGCGCTGGGCACCCCCTGGCCCCGAGGAGCCGTGCAGGACTGGCTCTGGGAGGGAGGCGGTCAGCCCTCAGACGACGGGCCTCTGTGCCAGCCCTGCAGGGACAGTGCTGTCCCACAGAAGGCCACAGCCGGGCTGTGTGACCTAGGGGTAGGAGGTGTTTATGACGGCACAGAAAGAGCCTGAGTCCATGCTGAATGAGGCCCAGCGTGACCTTTCACCCTGAGCAGGATCCCTGGGAACCAAGAAGCTTCTTGAAGGGCATCCTGAGGGTCCCGCCCCAACCTCGCCCTCTTCTGAGGATTATGGGAGGGATGCTGCCCGGGCCAGCAGCAAAGCAGCCACTGGATGGAGGACTGGCCAGGGAAGGGAGGGGCCAGGGCAACCATCTGCGGTCCGGCCCTCACTCGCCTCTCCAGCCTTCCTCTCCACAGCCCCACTTCCCCCTCGCTCCCTCCAAAGTTCCCCTGTTCTTCACTGCTACGCACATCACTGCCCACGCACATCATTCCTTCTGCCTGTAGCAGTCTTTCCTGCTTCCTTCCCCTCTGTCACCCCCACTCATTCTTCAGGTCTCACCTTACGTGTCAGTTCCTCCAGGAAGTCTTCCCTCTCCCTTCCCTCCCCCAGTCCAGGTAGATGTGCCCCTTTGTACTTCCGGGGCCTCCTCCCTCTCTCCCGGCCCTCGGCCTGCTGGAGCTCTTCACCTGCCTTCCCTCCGAGAGGGTCGGACCCAGGCCTACCTCGCTCTGCACGTGCTGGGCACTTAGTGTGTTCCCATTACATATTGTTGAATGAATGAATACACGAACACATAAAAGCCACTCCTACAGCATGTGATAAATTCCCAAGCCCAGTGCACAGGAAATCTTCACCTAGCCCTGGGTTTCTCCCCAGAGGACCCCGAGGGCATGTGTCCGGGTGCTCACCGCTTGCTGAGCTCCTTCAGGGCCGCGCTCCGGCACAGGCTCAGGTAATCCCCCAGGAGCTTCAGCTGCTCCCGGCTCCTCTGGATGACGTGCATCTGCTCCTCGTGCTCGTACAGCGATGGGTTCACCAGCTGCAGGTTGATGAGCGGATGGGCCCGGATCTTCGTCAGGAACTTCAGGGCCTGCCGGCAGATCTGGGGACACCAGCAGGCAGTGGGGCGAAGCGGAAAGGCCACTTAGTGAGTGCCCCTGGGTCGGGCACTGTATTACCCACTCACCCTGTAAACACCCTCCAAGAGAAGTGGCGCCATCTTCATTTTACAGGTGAAGAAACTGAGGTTCAGAGAGACGAAGTGACTTGGCCTGGGTCCACAGCTCATAAATGCCAAGATTTGAACCCTCAAACCTCTCTCCCTCCATGGCACCAGCTGCGGCCCCTCACAGACCATGCGGGGATGGAGGAGGGGTCCCTCTCCCCCTGGGCCTCACAGACCCTTCCCACGACTTCCTCTCCCCCCAGTCCCCACTTTCCTGCCTGAAGGAAACAGGCACTATCCTCTGGGCTGACTCAGGAAGCAGGTGACTGGTCTGAGTCAGGCTCCAACCACAGGAAGCCACAGATCAGACACAGCTCACCAAGAGGTTTCCCCGGTGCCCTCAGCTCTCGCCAGTAGCACCGCCCAGGGCTGCCCCAAATCTCTGTGCAGAGTTTGGTGATCAATCTTGGCCTCTCCCACCTGACAAGGCGTTGAAAGTTCTACCCTCGGGCCCAACCCTAAGGCCAAAGCCAATTATTGAGCACCTACTCTTTGCTAGACACTGAGCTGAGGACCTTGACATCCTTTTTTCATCCTTGTAACCACCCAAACGGGAAGGTGTCATAGTCCCCACTTTACTGATGAGGAAACTGAGGCTCAGAGAAACTAACGTGGCTTCTCCAACCCATGTGTAGAAAGTGGGGACCAGGTCTGAACTGAGGTGTCGTCTGCACCCCAGGCTCCACATTAACTAACAGGGGCCTCTCTCCTGCAGTCGTCCCATCGCTGCGACAGGAAGAACGGAGAGGAGATGTCTCCACTGCCACCACTGTGCAGGGCCTAGGAGCCTGGCTTTCAAGTTAGAATTGGGTTTGAATCCTGGTTCTACTACCTCTTAGCTGTATGACCTTGTGTAACTTCCTTAACCTCTCTGTGACTCAATTTCCTCATGTGTAAAATGGAAAAAATAAAAGTACTTGTCTCCTGGAATTATTTTGAGTTTAGATTAAAAAATAATCCACATAAGCTCCTGGCATGTGGCGTATCCTCAGTATGGGGCTGCCAGCCAACTCGTGTTTGCTGTGGCTCAGCTGCCGGTGGGGGGTTGGGAGTATAACAGGGACCTCGGGAGACTGTTACTCCGGGGGGCTGGGGAGGCCTCTGGCCTCTGGCCCCCAGCTCCACTGGCATCTCTCACCTCCCCCAGCAATGGACAACTCCTTCTTTTCTATTTCCCAGAAGTACTCGCCCCTGGCCAGTGGGTAGTCCAGTGTCAAAGCCCTAGTGAGTTGGATCAGGCTGCTGTTCCCCAGCCCCAGCCCACCCCTGACCATGACTCAGCCTCAGGCCTTGGGTGAGGCTCAGATGAAATGAAGGAATGTGTGCCTGCAGGGAGGGGCCTCGTGCTCCCCAGGCACTATTTCTATCCCACGGGTGTGGAGGAGACAAAGAAAGCAGCCCCAGTCCGGGCCTCACATCCTGCCCAGTGCCAGGCAGGCCCCACACAAGTGGGTCAGCCAGAGTAGCAACGTGAGCACCGAGGCCCGGAACCCGTGAGCCAGGCACTCGCTAGTTTGAATTTCCCTGTCTTTCTCAAGCCAGGGATCTTTGCGAGAAAGCCGGATGTTTCCCAACCTCAGGTATGCCAAGAAAAGTAATGTCATTTTCTAGCTGGAAGGAGGAAGTGGCACAAAAATTACAGCAATAAGTAAGGAGATGGCTCAATGGAAGCACCGGGTGTCGTAACTAGTGAGTGTCTTATGGCTAAAGGGTTGTTTGCATTTGTGGTAATTTTGAGGTTTAATTTTCTCCATGGAGTTAGTTAAATACTTAACAATGAGGGTAGCGGTGGGGATGAGGTAACCAACAAAAAAGCCAAAGCGAAGCTAACGTTTTTGGGGTTCCTGTCCCCGGGGAGGGGAGTGGAGGCTGGGGTGGCACGGACGCTGAGGGTCACGCTCCCTGTGCTCTGATGAGGACACATCCACACGCCAAGACTGCCCAGACCCTGACCGTGTGAATTAGGGGCAGAAAGTTGACACGCCTCAGGAGAGGGGCAAGGCACTAACGTAAGGCAGCGTCCAAGTGACTGGAGGGCACTGTCTCCTCCAGTCCTCACACAAGCCCGAATCAGACACTGTTATTAATCCCCCTTCCCAGATGCAGAAGTGAAAATGAAATAATCTGTTCATGGTAACACAGCCAGAAAAGTGGATAAGCTCAGCTGGAGAAGAGAAAAACCTGAACTATCTCAGAATACATCTCAGGCAAAAGCATTTGGTCAACACCCTGGTCAGTTTGGCTCAGCAGCTGGAGCGTGGGCCAGCGGACCGAAGAGTTGCAGGTTCGATCCCTGGCCCTGGTCTGGGTTGTGAGGGAGGCAACCAATCGATGTATCTCTCTTACATTGATGGTTCTCTGTTTCTCTCTCTTCCTCCCTCCCAGTCTATAGAAAAAAAATCAATGGAAAAATATCCTAAGTGAGGATAAAACAAAACAAACACTTGGTGAACATCAGTACCGAAGACTTAATACTAAGTAAACAAAGTGTGTTATAAAGAAGTAAGAGTCTAGTATAATCTCAATTTTACAAAAAGTACATGCGCATGTAAATAGATGCATGGTGTGGACAAAAAAAAAGGGGTGTTAAATCTAACTGAAAGTAACCTCACAAGGTGATCTGATCATAAATTCCTAACGGCAGGTAATGGTGGGTAGCCATGCCCCAGGCCTATAACTTCTTTAGCAAAAGGTTTAGCTCTGCCTTAAGCAAGTCCTATCTATTATTTCTGTGCATATAGGTCAGCACACCTTTGCAATGCCTCTTTTCAGACCCCCTCCTCCTAAAGTGTGACCACCCTCAAGAGAACACATAATCCTGTTAAGTGTCCTGTAATCCAATCCCTGCCTTGCTTTCTCCCACCTTCATGTAATCATTATGGTCCCTCTTTAATTCCAATGTATAAAAGAAAGTGCAAAAGTGTCATTTTTCAGAGCATTTGAAGTCTTGCTTCTGGTAACTGTCATGAATTTCTTTTTTTTTTTTTATCCTCACCCGAGGACATTTTTTGACATTTTGTTCAGATAGAGTGGGAGCGAGAGAGAGAGAGAGAAACATCGACGTGAAAGGGACACATCGAGTAGTTGCCACCCGCACAACCCAACCAGGGCCGGGAACAAACTGCAACAGAAGTACGTGCCCTTAGCGGTAACCGAACCCGGGTCTTTGGGGACCGCAGGCCAACGCTCTAACCGCTGAGCCAAACCGTCCAGGGCTGTCATGAATTTCCTAGTCGTCAGATTCTTATGACAACAGAAAAGGTTGACTGCTCCAAGGGAAAGTGCAACCAGCTGGGCAGCTCACTCATCCACCCACATCCACCCACCCAGCCATCCATCCATCCACCCACACACCCATTCATCCACCCACTCACCCACCTACCCGTCCATCATTCAGTGGCTGGTGCCTTAAATAGTTTTGGCTGCAGCCATGAGGAGCTGCAGAAAACCTCCCTCAGACTCCCACCTGAGGACCAAGGCAGGCACTGACACAGCTCTGCGCAGGGCTACCGACCAGCACCAAGTGTTTTTCTTGGTCAGTCTGCCACATCACAGGGCCAGAACCTGTGACTCTGCCTTCCCTAGAACCAAACTCCTCCCAGCAGATGAACAGCAGCAGCAAAGAGGAGTGACCATTTCTCTGTCATTTAGCAGCCCTGTGTGGCCACGAGAAGCTGGGCTCGAGACTTACCGGGCGCTTGGTGAGGTCCCAGTTGTGGATGATCCTGGCTGGAATCACTGAGGCATCGTCTTGGTGACAGATGTCACAGTAATAGAGGCCAGAGAAGGCACAGAGCTTGGGTCGTACAAACGAGAAGCCGATCTGCCGGGAGCAGCCTGGGGAGAAGGATGGTGGGAGAGTGAGCGGCGGCAGGGCGAGAGTGGGCTCCCGAATAACACCAGCTACTGAGGTGGAAAGGGCCTGCTATTTAAGGAAAGTATAAAGATTAAAAAGAGAGTACAAAGATAAGAACAACCACCACTCAGAATCAACCTTATTAATTAATCTTTACAATAAAACACTAAGAACCACCATAGTCATTTTACAGCTGGAGGAACCAATGCACAGAGGTTGAAAACGTCAGTCACAGGGATTCAGTAGCACAGCTAGAAGTCAAAGCTGGTTGTGGTTCTAGAGCCTGCATTCTTGTATCCCTCCCTGCCTTCGGTGTTCCCACTGCTTTGCTCACCAATGCCAGTCTCTTCTAGGTCTACCCCACCACTGGGGCCTAGAAAAGGAAACAACGAAGTCAAGGCCTTGCAAGCAGGGAAGGAGCTGGGGACATGGGGCCAGGCGTGGGGAGTGGGCAGGAAGGCAGCAGGAGACAGGGCAATCTGGACACTGTCTGGAGCCAACTTGAAGCCAGAGCTGCTGGATACCTCGGGAGGGGGGAGGGGCCCAGCTTCAGTCCTTCAGCTGGGAGCAGAGGGAGTGGGAGTCAGTGTGCCCAGGGCAAAGCAAAGGACTGGCTCAAACCCTGAGCACATGCCCAGCCTCCCACGGGGCCAGGGGAAAGAGTCCCTCCAGCCTCAGGACTGGAAAGGCCGGTTCCTCTAGTCACCATTTGCCTTATCCTCACCTTCACCGAATTTTTGCTGGGTTCTCTTTCAGTATCTGTACAATTCAGCCACTACTGGCTATTCTGTGGGGTTATTACAAAGTTTAAATGAGACAGGTTTTGAAAGGGTTCCACAATCTACGAAATACAAGCCAAATGGCAGTGATTGGTGTCCGCCTGGCCACTGAGCTGTGCTTACAGGTGGAGAGGAAGCCCAGGCTCCCCAGTTCGTCTTGCCTGCAAGTTGGGGGATGGCAGGGACAGTCAGAGCTGTCCCCACTAGCATCGCCTCACAGGTGGTGAGGGGTGTATGCATGTGTGTGTGGGGGGGGGGGCGGCGGTGAGGTTTGAAGTTTTCTGCAAGAAGCTCTGTTCTGCCCAGCTTCTCCCATCCTCCCGGGGTTACTGACCACAGACCACTTCCTCCCAGACGCCTGAAGCGGCCCTCCCCCACCACCCCGGTCTAACAGGACAGCTCCTAAATCGCTTGCAGCTGCAGCTGTTGCTCCAACACTCTGCAGCAGGCAAGCCTCTTATGGTTCACCAGGAGGGCCCAGGTGATGGAAATGGCTGGTTGGAACCAGGGGACAAGCTAAAGATGGAACATGAGCAGTAGAATATCAGGTAGCCTTGAACACAAGGAAGCAGAGAGGACCTATGGGGACCTGGCTAAGGGCACAGCTTCTGGGACCAACATAGTCCTCACCTGCCTCTGCCACTTCCTTGCTGTGTGAACCTGGGACGGATTCTTACCAGCCCTGTGCCTCAGTTTCCCCAGATATAAACAGAAATTATAGTAGCACCTACCCAGACAGGGTGGTTGTGAGGATGAAATGAGACAGTCCAAATAAAGCATCTGGCTAGTACCCAGCACAGAAGAATTAGGTTTGATAATAATAATAATATAGCAGATACACTGACTTGGAATAATACCCATAATGTATTTTTAAATTTAAAAAAAGTTGCAGAACAATATATACCACTGTGCTGTCCAACACAATGGCCACAAGACATGGGTTCCTTTTGAATTTAAATCCATTTCAATCAAATAAAAAATTCAATTCTTTAGTCACACTAGCCACATTTTACACACTCGGCAGCCACATTTTACATACTCGGCAGCCACATGTTGCCTGTAGCTACTGTAGTAGACGGCACAGATCTGAGATATTTCCATCATCACAGAAAGATGTATTGGACAGTGCTGAGTAGTATGAGCCCATTTTTGTAATAAAAAAAAAATTGTGTTCACTTGCAAAAACATGCAAAAATGTTTGTTTGTAAGGGTACCATGTCCCTGCTCCAAAATAATATGATAATGTTGTAATATGACAACGAAGGGAGCGGAGTGCTTAGCTCCCTGGAACTCCCTGAGCAGAGAGGCACACAGCAGAGCGGTCACCCCCAGGCCTCACACCTGAGTAGGAGGTGTGTGTGTGGGGGGGTGATGACGGCTCCCACTAGCAGGGGTGCTGGCCTCACTGGTGCTGGGAGGAGCAGATACTACTGCTGCAATAGCTGTGAACAGCTTCATTTGGTTTTTGTTGCTTTTTTATCCTCACCTCAGGATGCATTTATCTTCAGATAGAGCGGGAGGGAGAGAGGGAGGAAGAGAGAGAGAAACATCGACGTGAGAGAGACACATCGACTGGTTGCCACCCCCACAACCCCAACCAAGCCGGGGACAAACTGCAACCGAGGTACGTGCCCTTAGCGGGAATTGAACCCAGGAGTCTCTGGTCTACAGGCCGACGCTCAACCGCTGAGCCAAACCGGCCAGGGCAACGGCTTCATCTGGTATAGGGCCAGGAAGGGGTGCAGAGCTTAACTTGGGAACCCCACCAGAGGCACAGGGAGGCTGGCGGGCTGGGGTGGCGGGAGGGCAAGTCGGCACCTGCGCAGAAGCAGCCCTGGGAGTCGAGGCCCTTCTCGGTGGGGATGGCCACCAGGTACTGCAGCAGGAAGCCGTTCTCCCCGGTGGCGAACTTCAGCACCTCCTGACAGTTCTCATCCAGACTCCCACCCAGGGTCACTGCCTCCTCGGCCGTCTCCAAGTAGGACGCCAGGACCTTGCGCACCAGATCCCTCCACAGGGCGGCCTCCTCGGCAGTGCCGGCCTGCAGCTTCAGGACGGCCTTGGCTGTGATGATTTTGAAGAAGGACGGGCCCCCGAGGCTCGTGTCTGGCAGGATATCTCGGATGGTCTCAACTCCATGGCTGTCGCTTAACATCTTCTCATTGTTTCTCACGCGGAAGCATTTCAGGGACTCCAAGGACAGGGAAAAAATATAGGGCGTCCAGGTCCTGTCCACGTACAGGTACAAGAGGGATTCTTTAATAGCGTCTGGCTCGGGAACCTGGGCAGAGGACCAATCGAACTGCGTGCCCTGGAGGGGTTCGGGCTCCGTGAGCAGGTCGGCCTGGGCGGGGAGCCCACCCTGGGGGCCTTCCGGGAGGTCGCTAGGCTGCTCTGGGTACTGGATGTTCACCCACTCTTCCTCCTGCTGGGGCCGGCACTTCTGCAGGGCCTCCCGCACCCGGTCCAGCCAGTCCTCGGCCTCATCCCGGGAGGACGCACGCAGGGTCAGCTTCTTGCCAGAGAAGACCAGCTCGAAGCGGCCATCGCTGTGGGCTGGCCCCACCGACTCACAGCGCAGCAGCGAGCAGTTCTCCACACAGGTGCGCTCCTCGCCGCTCAGGTAGAGGCGGAACTCCAGCGGGGAGAGCTCGCAGAACAGCTCTTTCCAGATGCCCATCGCCCCCCGACGCTCCACTGTGCCCAGCTTCAGGAGACCCCGGAATGGGTTGGACAGTCCTGGAGGCAGAAAGAGGTGCTTTAGACAATGGGCCTGTCCCGTTATCCCACAAGAAAAGCCTCTGGGGCCGGAGGTCCTGTAGCGGGTGCGGACAAAATGACTGCCACCTGAGCACAAGCCAGCCACTTTGCTCTGAGGGAAACAGCAGCCACTGCAGGGTTTCAGGCAGAGGCACACGATCTGACATGTTTTAAGTGGGGGAGTCATCCTGGCTCTTATGTTGAAGGATTACAGGGGTAGAGAGACCAGTTAGGAGGCTATTGCCATAACCCAGGCCGGGGATTGGTGGATGGAACCCATGAGGTTGTGGAGGTGGTAAGAAATGGAAGGTTCTGGATATGTCAATAGGATTTGCTGACGGGTTCAATGTGTGAAAGAAGGAAAATCAAGGACAACTCCCAGGTTTTGTAGAGGGTCTGCCTCCTCCTCAGGAATCCTGATGACCCAGGCACAAGGCACACCTTCTCCAGCATGGTTACAACCATGCCACACGGGCGAACAGAAAAACCTACAAGAAGCCGGCATGGAGACCAGGGCGCTACCCACACTCCCCCAGCCAGGGCCCCAGCAGTCTGATCAGAAATCTCTGTGGATTACTGCAAACAGAAAATGAGAGAAAGAGACTGACTTTAGGGCATATTTTTGTTTGTTTGAAAGAGAAAGTTCTTTTATGAGGGTTATTGAAAAATTGGATTATGGTTCCTTAATGCCTTCTGGACTTCACTAGGGGGGGGAGGGGGGCTATCAAGCTGGCCTCATGGTAAACAGCACATGGAGGACACTGAACAAACAGCTGATCTGATAAAGCCCTGAGAGCTGTTAAATAAACCATCTGAGACAGAGGCCTTGGGAAGCAGCACTTAAACTCCCAGGTCTTCCAGAGGCAGGGTTTGCTCTGGGCCACAGACAGAATCAAGGGTCCTGTATAATAAGGTTTATAGGGCAGTTGCAGGGAAAATAGTTTCCATTTTAATATATGAAACAGTATTTTTGCCCTCTGTAGGCAACTGTGGGCATTACTTTTTAAGACTGTATGAGAAAATATACATGGCACCTTTGCTGCAATGCTTTTTTGAATGACTCAGCAAGGGTGCTCCTTATTACATTTTGTGATGAGGGTTTTCTTGTGAGAAGACACCACTCAATTGGTAATGGAAAAGGTGTCAGCCGGCTCTCTGAAAGGCAGCGCCCCGCAGTGAGGCCGTGGGGACCAGGGACCCGAAGTCACCTACCCATCTGCCTGCGGTGCACCACCCTGAAGTTCTTATGCTCCTGCGCCGCGGCTGCTTTGCTTTCCCTGCTTCCTGGAGAAGGCACACACGCTTTGTCTAAGGCCTCCATGGAGGAACTTTTTCTTGGTTCTTGAGAAAAATGCCCGAGGAGACCAGGCCTGGACTCTGGAGTCTCTCTGGAAGAAGCTACGGAGAGATCTGAAGGATTCTCGGGGGGTTGTTCCTGGGGAGGCCGGTAGAAGTCATCTTCCGAGATCCAGCTCTTGCTTTTCTACGGAAAGAAGTACAAACATAGGCTGTTCTTTTAACACATCTTCATGAGACCTGATTCACATATCATAAAATTAATACATTTCAACTGTACAATTAAATAGTTTTATTACATTCACAGAGTTGGGTAACGATTACCACTAGGTTCAGAACATTTTCATGACTCCTGAAGAGACCCCATTCCATTAGCAGTCACTACCGATTTCCCTCACCACTGCAGTTTCAGGCAACCAATAATCTACTTCCTGTTTCCGTAGATCTTCCCATTTGGGATATTTCATCTAAATAGAGTCTTATAATATGTGGTCTTTTTTTTTGTGGTATGTGCCCCTAAGAGGGAACTGAACCCAGGACTCTGGTCTGCAGGCCGATGCTCAACTGCTGAGCCAAACTGGCCAGGGCATATGTGGTCTTTTTAAACTGGCTTCTTTCCCTTAGCATAATGTTTTCGAAGTTCATCCACGTTGTAGCATGTATTAGGACTTCATCCCTCTTTATTACCAAATAATATTCCAATAGGTGAATGTGCCACATTTTGTTCATCCACTCAGCAGCTGATGGACATCTGGGGCTTTTGTACTTTGGGTCAATTAGGAATAATGCTGCTAAGAACATTCGTGCACACATTTTTGTGTGCAGTGTTCTCTCTTCTCCTGGTATATACCTGGGAGTCAAACGAAAGGGTCACATGATAACTAGGTCTAAATTTTTGAGGAACTTCCAAACTGTTTTCCTAAGTGGCTGTACCATTTTACATTCCCACCAGCCATGAATGAGGGTTCCGATTTTTCCACATCCTCTCCAACACTTGTTATTATCTGGTTGTTTTGTTTTGTTTTACTATAGCCATCCTGATGAATGTGAAGTGCAATCTTGTGTTTTTTTAAAAAATCCTCACTCGAGGACATTTTCTATTTATCATCAGATAGAATGGGAGGGAGGGAGAGAGAAGGAGAGGGAGGGAGAGAGAAGGAGAGGGAGGGGGAGGGAGAGGGGGAGGGGGGGAGAGAGAGAGAGAGAGAGAGAGAGAAACATCGATGTGAGAGCGACACACTGACTGGCTGCCTCCTGTAGGACTCGACCAGGGCTGGGGATGAACTGCAACTGAGGTACGTGCCCTTGACCGTAATCGAACCCGCAACTCTTTGGTCCACGGGCTGACGCTCTAACTGCTGAGCCAAACTGGCCAGGGCCAAAAAGCACATTTTGTCCAGTGTGTTCTCATTATGTCAGGGTTTTGATTTGCATTTCTCTAATGTCTAATCTTTTCATGTGCTTATTGGTCACCTGTATATCTTCTTTGGAGAAATGTCTACTCAAATCCTTTGTACAGTTTTAAATCGGTTTATTTATCTTTTTGTTCTTGTGTTGGATTATGGGTTAAATTGCATCCCCCCAAGAGATATGTTGAAATCCTAACCCCCAGTACTTCAGAATGTGACCTTATTTGGAAATTGGGTTACTACAAATACAATAGTTAGAATGAGGTCATACTGGGGAATCGTGGCCCCTCCATCCAATGTGACTGGAGTCCTTATAAGAGGAGGAAGACACACACACAGAGAAGATTGCCAAGTGAAGATAGAGACACAGAGGAATGTGGTGGAGGGAGGGACTGGAGCGGTGAGTATACAAGCCAAGAAATGCCAAGGATTTCTGGCGACACCAGGAGTGAAGAGAAAGTGTGGAACAGAAGATTCTTCGTTGAACTCCAGAAGGAATCAACCCTGCTAACGTGGATTTTGGACTGCTACAGAGAACACATTTCTGTCGTTTTATGCCTTCCAGTTTCTAGTACTTTGCTACAGAAGCCCTAGGAAACAAGCACGATTTACGAATAATTTCTCCAATTCTGTAGGTGGTCTTTTTACTTTCTTTTCTTTTTTTTTAATTCTCACCTGAGGACATTTTTCCTTTTTTTTTTTCCAGATAGAGTGGAAGTGAAAGAGAGAAAGAGAGAGAGAAACATCGACGTGAAAGGGACACACTGAGTGACTGCCACCCGCACGACCCAACCAGGGCCGGGGACAAACTGCAACCGAGGTACATGCCCTTAGTGGGAACCGAACCTGGGTCTCTCGGGACCGCAGGCCGATCGCTCTAACCGCTGAGCAAAACCGGCCAGGGCTCACTTTCTTGATGGTGTTCTTTGAGGCACAAAACTTTTAAATTTTGATGAAGTCCAGTTCATCTTTTTTCTTGTTTCTGTGCTTTTGGTATCTGAGAAACCAATGCCTAACCCAAAGGAAAAAGATTTACTCCTGTGTTTTCTGCTAAGAGCTTTATTGTTTTAGCTCTTAGAATTAGGCCCATGATCTACTTTGAGTTAATTTTTGTGTATGGTGTGAGGAAGGGGTCCATCTTTATTTTTTCTCTCTGGACATCCAGTTGTCCTGGCACCATTTGTCCAAAGGATGTAGAGTTTTTCTGCCCTGCTTGTAGGGTTTGAGATAACGGAGGCATGAGTGAGGAGCACCCACAGCCCTCACTGGCCACCCTGCTTCTGTCCCCCACTTCAGAGCAGGCCCCAAGGCCCCAGGCAGTCAGGCCCTCCCCTTTCCCTTCTGTTACTGTCTCTGAGTCTAAGGCTGCTTGCTGGCTTTGGGAAGTGGAGTGGGTCTGGGGTTCAGGGGCTTGTGGGAATAGATTCCAGATTCTTTTTTCCCCACTATTTCAAGTGCTCCCTGCCTTTCTGTGCCCAAGTGTGTAAGAGCAGAGGCAAGGGGGCTGGCTGGGCCATCAGACATGGCTGCCTACACAGAGAGGAGGAGTCACACAAGGGGTGGGACCAGCCCAGATGCTTTGTTGAATGCAACCAACCTCAACTTGGCCGTGCTATTTCCACCCCCTAAATCAAGATTTCCCTCCCTGCTTCCCTAGACAGGGAAGGGGAGCAGGACTGGGGCTTCCCCAGAAGGATTGGTTTAGATAATTTAGTTCATGCAGATGCTATAAGATGCCTTCAGCCAAGAGTGAGAGTTCTGAGTCAGGAGCTTGTGGGCCGGGAGGGCTCACAGCTGGGCCTCCAGGGCTTCCTCTGAAAACCCTCAGTCACATTGGCAGGTGCTTCCTTCCGCCAGTGACAGGACAATGTGTCGATGAAGGTGGCTACAGGGGACCATTTACAACACAGGATTCTGAACAAAGCCGGCCTGGATCATCATGACTCAGGGGAAGTCCCTGAGGAAAATGGGCAGGAGCAACCTCCTGGCTGTCTAGGCAGCCTGGCACACATACCTGGAAAATTCTGTGACCTCCCAACCCCAGCTAATGGCCCTAATGGGAGAGACCACTATCCCTTCAGACTCGGCTCAGAGGTCATCTGCTACCTCCTCCTAGAGTCTTTCTTTACTCATCCCCAGCCTACCCTCCTCCTACCCCCCGCTGTGCTAGGAACCCCCATCCCACCCCAGGGCTCCCATGGTGTTCTGGGATCACCCCTATTCTAGCACCTACCAAACTGTTTGTTTTCTTTGTGCCTGCATAGAGTTATAACAGATGAAAGACTAAACCTTGACTTTCAAACATCTTTAACATAAAATAAGGGTGGGGCGAGGGAAGTGGAAGGAAGGACACAGATGTGGATTCTGAGATGACTTATGTTTACTGAGGGCTCCTCTGTCCACAGCCGAGAGACAGACAACTGGGACATGTCAGATACGCTCCAGTGACCACAGATTAGCCACCAGGAAATCATACTCTAGGGGAAACCTTTGTTCTCTTAAGCAATGGAGAAAAACAGTGGGGACACTGGGTCCCTGGAGCTTCAGCCTGGACTGAGCCCTGTGGCTGTGCCCCTCGCCAAGGCCCCCCGTTATAAAGCAGAGGGGGAGGTGAGCTAGAGAGGGGCGCACCACTGTCTCCTTCTCATTCCCCTTTCACACCATCTTCCTACCTCCTGCTCACTCAGGGCCACATCTGGCCAGTCCCCTGCTCCTTTAACAGTGGGAGGAAAATCACCATTGACCAAGGATCTCAGCCAGAGCAGCACCTGCCACCAGGGACGAAGACAGAGTAATGCCACCTGAAGTTACTAAAGGCATTAGGATGCTTTAGACAACAGCTGAACCCAGAGAGGAGTCTGGCTGAGTAAGATACCAGGTCTCTGGACCACTTTCAAAAATGCACATTTTGCTCTAGCCAGGTGGCTCAGTTGGTGGGAGTGTCATCCTGTACACCAAAAAAGTTTTGAGTTTGATTTCCGGTTGGGGCACAAAATTAGGTTGTGGGTTCAATCCCTGGTCGGGGTGCCTATGGGAGGCAACTGATTGATGATTCTCTCTCACACTGATGTCTCTCTGTCTCTCTCCCTTCCTCTCTCTCAAAAAAAAAGCATATTTTGTCCAGTGTGTTCCCATTATGTCAGGCAAAGGACTGCCTGTACTTCTACCTGGAGGAGGGGAAGGTGCCATAGGAGGGTGGTCCAGGAGGGCAGTGAGTAGGGCCGACTCTTAGAATTCGAACTGTCCTCTGCAAATTAAGCTGAGGAACCAACTCACAACCCCCCCACCAGATCCACGAATACAGTCACCCTAGCGAGCTCCCTCGGGCCCTGTATCTTTCCTTCCCAGGCCCCAGCACTCACTTATCACAGTGTAATTATGATATCTAATCTAGTGTCTGTCCCCAAAGAGCAGGGTTCTTGTCTGTCCTGTTCTGCTGCTGTATCAAGCATACTGCCTTGAGTTGAATGAATTTTTTAAAAAATTTTAAAGGAAGATTGAATAGCACTTAGGGTTAGAAAACCTGACAGTGAACCCTCCCTCCAAAAGTGGTAAATAAATATCAGTGACTAACTTCCAGAAGCACAGAAAGATGAGAACCATGGAGGCAGCACACAGGGCATAGCCCCACCCTGTGCAAAGGCAGGGAGCCCGCCAGGCCGGTGTGAGCAGGCGGGTCATGCAGCGATGCCCAGTGACTCCCGAGTGGAAGAATGAATGGATCCACAGCTCCCCTGGGACATGGCTCCAGAAGGGGCGAGCATCTGAAGAACGCACA